GGGGGGGGGGAAGAAATGGTTTGAAGAAAAAAGAGGATGGGGGATATTGAAAGATGAACATATGGTGCTTTCAAGAAAAAATATGTTCTTAATTGTAAAATTTATCGTTTTCGTTGAAATATGATAACAAAGCCGAAAACATTATTCAAATGATTAATCCATTGATTAATTTTATTGATTAATCATGATCTGACTGTTTCCTGGTTACAAAGATGACCGCTCCAGCCCAGGTCACATTGGCATTCTCCTGACTGGCAGCTACCATGCCCGGAGCAGGTAGGGTCCATACAGCTTCCTAGATAGATAGATAGATATATAGATATAAGGATAGATAGATAGATAAGTAAATAGGTACATAGATAGTTATATAGATTGATAGATAGATAGACATATATATATAGATAAATATATAGGTAGATAGATATTAAGAAAAAATAATAGATCTATAGTTAAATTGATAGATAAAAAGATAGATTAATTGACATATATATGAAAAATATAAATATATATCTATTATATATGAAGATACATAAATCTATGTTTATAGAATAATAGATAAATAGATAGATAAAAACTTGATAAATATTAAGGATCTTTAATTTAGTAAAGTTATACCATACGTCACTTTTTTCAGAGGGTCTACTAATAAGGCTGACAAAAGGTTATTATAAAAACAATGAAGGAAGATAAATAGATAGATAGATAGATAGATAGATAGATAGATAGATAGATAGATAGATAGATAGATAGATAGATAGATAGATAGAAAGATAGATAGATAGATAGATAGATAGATAGATAGATAGATAGATAGATAGATAGAAAGATAGATAGATAGATAGATAGTTAGATAGATAGATAAATAAATAGATAGATAGAAAGATATTTAAATAGATTTAGCTATCTATATATAAATTCCTAAATACAATTCCCATTTTAAATTCTTTTTTGTTTTTAATATAAATCAAACAATGTGCGAACATTTATTTTTTTTGCATTTAATATTTTGTTGTTTAGTAGATTTCCTCTTATTTTAACACAATGAAACAGCTGAGCGCTGACATTTAAATTCCAATTTTATTTTAATTTTATTCTTTTGAAATACACTTTTTGCTTGATTCATACCCTCTCCCCCACTTCATTCTTTTATTTAGTTTTCAAGAAGCCTTTATTTTATTTATTGTTTTTCCTGTTTGAAACACCATTTTACTTTTTCAGATTTCCTATTATTTGTATTAAACCATCGTTTGACGATAAGCCACCACTAACATATAAGCATTAAAAACAGTATTAAAGTGACAAAAAAGTTTAATTAGATCCAGTGAAAAAATGTTATATTTCTAAAGGCTTTAAAAATCAAGGCTTCTTAGCAATCTTACTTTTATTCCCCAGTTTCCCCATTATTCTTTCTCCGGCTTTGTTTATGTGACTTTTTCTATATAATGGAATGCTTTCTCCCATCAAGAGTATATAGCCTAGGAATGGGTATAGTTTTCTATGTAATGGAATGCTTTCTCCCATCAAGAGTATAGAGCCTAGGGGTGGGCATAGTTTTCTATATTGTTGAGTACTTTCTCCCATCAAGAGTATAGAGCCAAGAGATGGTCATAGTTTTCTATATAATGGAATGCTTTCTCCCATCAAGAGTAATGAGCCTAGGGATGGGTAAAGTTTTCTATATAATGGAATGCTTTCTCCCATCAAGAGTATTGAGCCTAGGGATGGGTATAGTTTTCTATATAATGGAATACTTTCTCCCATCAAGAGTATAGAGCCCAGGCATGTATACATAGTTTTCTATATAAAGGAGTGTTTTCTCCCATCAAGAGTATAGAGCCTAGGGATGGGTATAGTTTTCTATATAATGGAATGTTTTCTCCCATCAAGAGTATAGAGCCTAGGCATGTATATAGTTTTCTATATAATGGAGTGTTTTCTCCCATAAAGAGTATAGAGCCTAGGGGTGGGCATAGTTTTCTATATTGTTGAGTACTTTCTCCCATCAAGAGTATAGAGCCTAGAGATGGTCATAGTTTTCTATATAATGGAATGTTTTCTCCCATCAAGAGTATAGAGCCTAGGGATGGGTATAGTTTTCTATAAAACAGAATGCTTTCTGCCATGTAATCATAGTTTTTACCACTAAAAATATTTTTATTTAAAAACAAACAATTAGGTTGAAATAGTAATTTTTTCAGATCGTCAACAGTCTCTTCCTGTTTAGAGATACAATTAAAAAATCTAACTCGAATTTTCTTATCTCTAAATCATTGCAACCTTTGTACTGATATTACAAACTATTTAATCTAACATAAATCAAAGTGCATGACATATCAAAGGTCTACGCCGTTAAGCTGCAATGGTATGCAAATTAGAAAACTAAAATTAGTCGCAAATGGTTCAATAAAAAATATATTTAGAAAAAAAATAAAGCAAAATGAATTTGCAGAGATTTGAATTCGTAATATACAAAATAGAAAGACGTTTCATTTTATTGAGACCTCGTCTATCTTGCTCATCAAACAACCCATCTCCCCATTGATCACCAATGCAGAGATGACAATGCCCGATTTACAACCGTAACCTTAAAATCATCTCGGCCTTAACAGCTTTGTTTTATAAAGTATAAATTAGAAATCCATGTTTTGTTCCTTTAAATTGTTTTTTTTTTCATTTTAGAGTTCTCTACAAAAGTGACTTTTGTCATGCATGTTTTCTTGCTGGAAAGAATCATTAAAAAAATTATCAGAATTCAAAACTCGTTGCGTTATCTTCCACATTTTTGATCAAATAAAGTTTTAAAGGGTACCTTAGTAAATCAGAGACCGAATTTAAAGAATTTTAGCCGCGGCTTAAATTCGCCAAAACCCGGTTTAAATTAAGCGCCGGGTTAAATCATGAAACATTTGATACAATTTTAGGTGAAACCAACCATATTTAAGCCGCGGCTCATATTCTTTAAGTTCGGCCTCAGGTATTGCCAGCTTTGCATGGAGGGTAAATTGGATTTACCCTTACAGTCCAAAAGCCATATAAGATATATTTCTAAATTCTGAGCACTTTAAAGGGACAGTAAAGGAAAAATTAAAGGGGGTATAGGCTGAAAGCTAATCACTTTAGCTCTTGATCGCGACCCATGAAAGTTTTATCTGATGTTCCTGTCTCGAGAAATTGATATAAAACTGTGTTATAATTATACGAAAATTCGTATATGTAAAATTTTGAAAATCTGAAACTTAAATCACGTGACCAGAACTATCACCAATGGCAGAGCAGTATACTGGTCACGTGTCTCCGCCTGTATCACGTGACCACTTTACTGCACTGCCATTGGTGGAATTTCTGGTCAAGTAATACGGACGTAAAAATAATATTATGAATGAAATCTATCGAAAATAGAAACAACAAATATAAAAGTAAACCTTAATTACAATTAGCTTTCTCTGGGATATCATCTTTTTCAGATTGGTTGCTGTTTTTCTGAGCATGATCTGTTTAAACCTACTATTTCTATACGAAATTGTATATATATGCATTTTCGTACAAGTTTGAAACAGCTTTATATCAACTCTCGAGTTAGGAACTTCAGATAGGCGTCTCAAGGGTCTCGATGAAAAGCTAAAGTGATTAGCTTTAAGCCTATACCCCCTTTCATTTTTCCTTTACTGTCCCTTTAAATAAGGGTAAATTCTAGTTTTATAAACCTTTAAATTTTCTGAAATCTTTATTTTTATCAATAAATCCATTATCTGAGAAGTTCTTCCTTTCATCTCAATATATAACTATAGATTATATCTATCTCAGAAATTACACAGATAAGACAGGCGAGGTTTGACTTAAAAAGACTGTGAGCATATTTTAAGCGAGATGCAAATATAGCAGTGCCCGATTCACACCGGTACCCTTGAGACATTATAATGTGATCAACAATGTGGGAGATAACGTCTTTTTTTACTCGAAAAGTTTTTTTTGTGAATTTTGTAAAGGTAGAAATTACGTAAATCAATTTAGTAGAACAACTATTAAATATTTAGAATTTAAATAAACAAAAACATGGATATCTCTATTATCTAATTTATACTTGATTAGACAAAGCTTTTAAGGGTACCGTTGTAAACAGGGCTTTTCCATCTTTGCATGGAAAGGAAAATACGCTTACAGTACTTTTAAGACAGATTGATCTATCGAAATTGAAAATACTTTTTTTCAGTGTAGTCCTGAATATTTTCTGGACTGATCATAGACCTTTTATATTTCAATCTATATAATCTGCTCGAGATCAAATAGTCAAAGTTGGAAATTTCAAAGGTTTACATCAGGCTGCAAAGCTATAGAGAATGGAAAGCTAGATTTTGAATCGAGTTAGAATTGGTTTACAAAAGGTTACAAAACAGCAGGCCTCTTGGGTCCTATCTGTAGACGTTGTTATGAAATTGAAACAGAAATATTTTCATTGAAAACTTCAATATTTTCCCTTGGTATTATTCAAACTATAGGTATATTATTCTTCTATATATATCGGGGATCAAAATTAAATTGTTCTAAATTTAAAGCGAAAAATTTGAGAGACATAAATTAAACACAAACAAAGGTTTACTAGAACTTTCAAAATAAGCTTGAGTTCACTAGAATAGATTAATGTCGAAAGACGACTTTTAGGCCCAAAAGATATTGTTAAATAAGTTGACAAAAGTCAGCGGAAACTTTGCGTTGCGCAATAATAATGCCCTTATTTTTACAGTTACAGGTTAAATATAATTTGAAAATAGAAACGTTGAAGCTAAATAACTTACCGGTTTCACTTAAATTGTACAGGTTTAACTTTAATTGTACAGGTTTCACTTTAATTGTACAGGTTTCACTTTAATTGTACAGGTTTCACTTTAATTGTACAGGTTTAACTTTAATTGTACAGGTTTCACTTTAATTGTACAGGTTTCACTTTAATTGTACCGGTTTTGACTTTTATTGTAAAGGTTTAAAATTAGGTTTCCTGGTTTAATTTTAATTTACCGGTTCGACTTGATCTGTACTGGATCCACTTTTTTGTACTGGTTTAATTGTAATTGTACTGCAGTTTGGCTTTAATTGTACTGGTTCTACCTTATTGTACAATTAATAGAAATCAATTGTACCTGTCAAAACCACTCTAACTTTGACTTTACCAAAAGTAGATAAACTCTTTTACCAAAATGATATGAACTTTAGTTTTGATATTTCAACTTGTTTTACAGTTTGGTCCTTCAAACACTTACTTGTTGTACAGTTTGGTCCCTCCCAGCCCTTGGTACAAATACAAGCTCCCTCAACACATTCTCCATGTTCTCCACATTCAGATACAGAACATTCATTCATCCTGTATATATAAATATATATAGGTTCAAAGTATACAGGGTTACCCACAAAGAATGAGACTGTAAAGACGACGTCATTAAATAATCCCAAGACTATAGAGGGGAAAACGGGACGGTACACCAAATTAATCATCTCTTTCTTGTCCGATTGGCTAGGTTCCTATAAACTTGGTTGAAAGTACAACTTAAAAATACAATGTATGCCATATCTGCCTAACTTATCCTGTGATTGGCATTCATACATAGTTTGGACACAATTTATTCCTTTACCTGAGATTACACTCATCTCCCTTCCAGCCCAGATGACAATGACAAAACCCTCCTCCATAATCTCCATGTCCACTGCACACAACAGGACACAACCCTACACAACAAAGGTTAATTTACTGATTAACTAACAAATTCTTTGTTTTATTACTTCATTTATTAGTCGATTGACTGATTAATTGATAGGTTAAAAGATTGATTGATTGACTAGTTATTTTTTTGATGAATTATTAATTATTTGATTGATTAACTATTTCAATAAATAATTTATAAATTGATCGATTAACAGAATAATTTATTGCATAATCAAGTTATGGATTGATTGATTGGTTGATTAGACACGCTTGTCGATTTAAAAATTGTAGTGTCCGATTCATAATGGTACCCTCACTCAGGTCAGCTGCTTTAGTAATTGTACATTGGCAGTACAGTTCAAACTAGAACCGCAAAGGGTGGCCTGGCTCGGATATTCAAATGTACACCTTTGATCAAATATAAATTATGAATACATCTTTTTCTTTTGGAAAAAAGTTCATTTTCGATTGCGGTTTCTTTAGTAAAGTGACTTGCTTTAGAAACAGTGGGAAACTTATTCGATAATAAAATATTTTTGAATTTTGAATCCAGAAATCAACGTTGTCATCCATATTTTTGATCAGATTAAGGTTTCAAGGGTATCGTTGTGAATCAAGCCTCCTCTCTTTAAATGAAGGGTCCGTTACCCTACAGTTTCAGTAGAAGTAAATATTTCCATTAACTGTTGTAGCGCCGATATAAGGATTTATCTCTAATTGGATAATGAGATAGATAGAAAGATAGATGTTACCGCTTTACTATTTCTATTGGTTCAGAACAGACAACATGTCTGAACCTTGATTTGATCAGGCGCTAATGGACTCAGCATACAAGAGTGGTTAAAACTATTTTAAGACGCGAAAGTTACTTTAAGAAAGTTCCTTTTATAAGAAAGTTCCTTTAAGAAAGGACGTTTTGTAAAATGTCTGATAGAAGAGCAATTTTAATGTTTCCATTTTGAAATTGAAAAATGTTGTACTTATCAATCTATACAAATACACTTAAAACGCTTGAAAATGAAAATATTTTAGATTTCTAAGATATAAAAGACGTGAAGGATAATGCTTTTAAAAAGCTTTGATATGTCACGATACCATGTCAATAAAGACTTTAATCTACAGAGTTCATGTATTGATCAGAAATATCAACGTCAGTCATATTTATTTTATGAAAGCAAACTCTTAACCTGTCTATTCATTTTAATAGGTCCATAGATAAAAATTTAGATAGATAGATAGATAAATAGATAGATAGATAGATAGATAGATAGATAGATAGATAGATAGATAGATAGATAGATAGATAGATAGATAGATAAATAGATAGATAGATAGATAGATAGATAGATAGATAGATAGATAGATAGATAGATAGATAGATAGATAGATAGATAGAACCCCTGTTCCATGCACTTGTAGCTTTATATATTGTCTCATGGAGTAATCTAATTTTATTATCTAAAGCTGGACATTGGACAACAAACAGATTCCTGAACACGCTCCAGGTATTGATTTTAGTAAGGCATAGATATATATTTATAAATAGATAGCTAGTTAGATAGATAAATAGATAAATGAATGGATAGATATTTTGATTGATAGACATAGAGATAGATATAATAAAAGATAGATAGATTAATAGATATATGGATAAAAGGGTAGAAATATAGATAGATAGATAGATAAAAAAATGAATGGATGCATAGATAGATAGATAGATAAATATATTAATAGATATAGATATATAGATAGAAAATAGTTAGTTAAGTAGACAGAAATGTAGATACAGGATATCCCCCCCCCCCTGCTCCATTACTAAGGATAATGCAATAAACACAATAAAAGGAAACAGCATCAGGCTTTTATCACACTTCAATTTGGACGGAAGCGTTAGGTTTAGCTGGGTTCATTTGGTTTGGTTTAGCTGGGTTCATTTGGTTTGGTTTAGCTGGGTTCATTTGGTTTGGTTTAGCTGGGTTCATTTTCCAAAGCAAGTGGATTTAACTTCTGCGCAATTGCGAACCCTGTAAACTCCACGAAACTCCGCGTAATTCCGCGCAATTCGATAACATGCGCAAAGGAATTCCGTTTGGAAACCTGAGATCCAAGTTCGAACACTGGATTTTCAAAAGGAATTAATTTAATCTTGAATCGTTGGATGACAAAATGTTCGGCTAGTTGTTTGAATCCTCACCAAGATTTAACAAAGCAAAATTAGGAACTTATTAAAATAAGTTTTTTTTTATAATAACTTGATAAACAATTAATTAAGTTAAGTGCGTCTGATGCAAATGACGCTGGATAGAAATTAAAATATTATCCACATTAACACACTGCAGTATAGGCTGAATTTGAACTGGGTCTTCAATAGATAAATATATTCATCATTTATTATCCATATAATATTTCACTCATATTAATATGTTGGCTATTGCCACCCAAACGGCTGGACAAAATTCGATTTCTTTCATTTTCAATTTCTTTCTTCAAAATTAGAAAAAGAAATTCCGTAGAGTTTATTAAAATCCACAGGCAACGCCGGGCCAAAAGGCAAAACTACCAAAACCATTTCAAAGTTATGAACATTTCATTCGTAATATTGTTCATAATTTAAATAAAAAATAACGTAATTAAGAAATTATTTCGGGAAGTTTAATAATACAACTAAAATCAAGGTACTAATGCAAGGAAAGTTATTTCAGAGGTGTACGCATCCTTTGTACTGCAGTGTACTGTCACTGGGCGGTAATGTAACCACAAGACGGATGTCAAAGCCTGATGCATGGGATCCAACTTTCACATAATAAAATCAATGAAATATTCTGGTCATCGGAAACTGTTATGTGAATTATCAAAATTATCAAAATTCAATGCTTTTTATTAACCTCCTCGGATACTAAACGAACATTGAGGCATCTATTCTTGTTTACAAATTCCGCCCAGAGAAAACTGGTTTCAATATGTACTCAGAGTATACGCAACCGCAATTAACTTTCCTTGCATTACATTCATATCATATCATTATCAATTATGGACAACGTTGACATTTATCTTGTTTCTTTGTTATGTTTACTTTTTTATGGACTATGGTCTACTCCAGAATATTATATATAAACAAATATAAACCGGGAAATATTGTCAAATCAAAATATAATATGAATATATTAAATTTGCCAACTTAAAGGGACTGTCCACGTAATTGCTCGTGAAATTCACTTTAAAGAACTACATTTCTAATTCACCTGTTATGCTTTTATTTAAGCTGTTGATGATGTAGAAGATATTATTTAAAGACATGCATTATACATGTATCCGAAGTCGCGATCATAAAGTCCGAAAGTCGCAATTTAAAAATCATTTATTTTCCGAGAGAAAAATAAGAATATTTGTCTCTTTTCTTTCAGGTAAACATTTCAAGGGTACCGGGGCCATCTTGAATTAGGTCCTGTATATAAATCACTTTAATTTAGGTCCACGGTCCTTTAAATCGTGAATTCACCATCACAGATATTTTTCATTTATTTTTAATCGCTAAATATTACGTTTATGATCGAAACAAAGAAAATCCATCTTTTTTGATCATTTTTTAGTCTGACATTTAAAAAAAGTTAAAAGTTTAGAATGTTGGTAATGTGAAAATGTATAGATTTCATATTAGATTAAAGCTGTAAACTGTAGACGGTCCGAAATGACCAAGCATGAGCTTTGTAACATTTGCGGATATTTTGCAGCAATGGTGGAAATGGACAGAATTGAATGGGGTTTGTAAAATAGTAAAACGACAATATGTAGACTAAGGGTACCGTCGTGCCATTCTTTCTTTTTTAACAAGATCATTTAAAATTACGTCTACAGTCCCTTTAATTCCTCTTTTGCGTTTCGCCACCCTCGCCTTTAAGCCTAAAATCTAAATTATATCCCTAGGCTAGGAAAACATCTTTATGCTCCGGGTTCGGGGCAAACAAAGCGGAGGAAAGTTCAACAACTTTGCGGTTTTCCTGCTAGCAGCTTATTTTTAGATTAAAATTCCAAACAAATTTTCAACTTTAAAAAATGTCTTTTAAAAAATATAGGAACCAATATAAAATATTTTTTTGGATGCCGTTTTAATTTTTTTTGTTAATGAATAAATGATATATTACTGTATTTCTAGTTTTAAAAAAATCATTTTCAATTTTTCCTTTTATAAAAGTGACCAACGAAGGCAATAAAGGAAACTGTCCTAAAAAAACACTTTAAAGATATAAAAACGACGATTTCTTCTTTATTGTTAATCAGTGAAGGGTTTATAAAAGTACTGATGTGAATCGGACAATGCCTCTCTATAAACGAAGGGTTACATAAGTTGCGTCTCTTATAAACAAAATTGTTTAATAAATAGGACAAATACACTTATTATTGCACAGTGGGCAACTAGGATAAAAATACACTTATTATTGCACAGTGGGCAACTAGGATAAAAAGTTGTGTAATAAATTGTGTTGAACAGTTGTAAAAATACTTTTTGTTCTATATCATCACAATATATTACATATTATATTATGGATTTAAGAAATATTACTTCGTGATTGAACAAATCTCAGTATTGTACAAAAGTTTTTTTTAGTGTGGCCAAAACCTTAAATCGCCACCATTTTTCGTTTAACATAAAAGTATTTTTAGAACAATTAAATGATTCATGTGAAATTTGGTTTTGCTTTAAAAAATGTACATGCAAAGACCTGAAAAATGTACATGTAAAGACCTGAAAAATGTACATGAAAAGACCTGAAAAATGTACATACATTGACCTAAAATATGTACATGCAAAGACCTAAAAATGTACATTTAAAACATGAAAAATGTACATGAAAAGACCTGAAAAATGTACATGCAAAGACCTGAAAAATGTACATGTAAAGACCTGAAAAATGTACATGCAAAGACCTGAAAAATGTACAAGATAAAAAAATCCTTTTTAGATTTGTGTCATGCTTTTATTTAAAAACGTAAAAAATAAATCCAAATTCTTAATCTTTTTGGATATCTCTGTAATAGTCTAGGAAACTTTAATGAAGTTTTAAAAAAACCTTTCCTCTAAAACCTTTCCTATTGTAGAAAAAAGTGAAATCCATTATACTTGCTTTCCAATATTTTCCGTAAAACATCCCAACACACTTGACATTTAAAATCTAGCTGAAGGATATATTCTAGACAAAACAAAAAGAAAGACATTTATTTAGATAAAAAGATAACATTATGAAAACTTAAAAATTAATTGTCAAGAAACTAAGTTTTTACAACGCTCTGACGACCCCTTGATATTTCAAACTATGAATATTTTTTAGATAAAATAGACAAAGTTTAAAAAGTTAGAAAATTATAGATGTTTATTATATAATTATAATATTATATAATTATATAAAATTATAGATGTGTGTGAGCTATCAATTCCTTCGTAAGGTTCTTGGCAATGAAGGGAAGAATTCACACATAGCAATGATATGAAATATGATATTAAACTGTAGTGTAAAACAGCGCGCATGCTTACTTTTGTTGCAGAAACGCTATGGGTCAACTACATGCTAGACGGGCTGGTACGAGTAAGCACATGGTCAGTGTTCTTGTAGCATTTCGAATAATGTAAGTATAAGAGTACTGTTGTCGGCTTTCATATCAATACAATGAAGACGACTGTTCTATTTAATTTTTTTATTTTAACAAGGTTTTTCCAAGTTACAAGTTTACCAGTAAACAAAGAGAAGCTGTTAATTGACAGCTTCTCTTTTTTCTTCATTGTATTCATATCTACGAAAATACCTGTCTATTATATTGTATGATATTGTCTCGTAAAACCTATTTACACAAATACAAGACAAAAACAACTCAAAAAACTTACTATTTAAGCAATCTGGTCCGGTCCATCCAGCTGTACACACACATCTTCCCTCTATACAGGATCCGTGACCGTTACAGCTGTTCCCGCAGTCGTTGCCGCGTTCCTTTAAACCCAGCGCAGATTAAAATCAAGATTAAAAAGACGACATTTTTTAAAGAGGTTTTTGTCTAATTCACATAGGATACCTTCATCAGTTTTCTATGGTGGTAGGCGATTATATCAATATAATGAAGACAACTTTCGATTTCAATTTTGATTTATATCAAGCTTTTAAAACGCATGGATCAGGCCCCACCGGTGTGCATTTGAATATCCGAGCCGGGCCAACCTTTGCAGCCCTACATTGGACTGTGCCGTAAATGCAGTACAAGTACTAAAGCGGCAGAGGAGTGTGGGATACACAAACACATGAAAACAAAAAGAAAATATCAATTTAAAAAGCTTCTCTTTAATCACTTGTAAACTTGTAATACGAAAAAAGCGTGTTAACAATTAAGCTTAAATAAAAATGTAGTCTTCATTATATTGATATAATCGCCTACCACCGTGTTTAAATAAATACGCATTTCCCTTTTAAGAGAAACTAATAACTTCAGTTAGATAAAATAAAGATAATAATATTTTCATCATTTTAGCTCGATAACGTGAAGTTTCGCCGACTGTCTCTTTAAGTAAAAAACACATTTTTCCAGATTCAGGCATAGTCTCTTTTTGTAAATATAACTGTCTTTCTATTGTATATAAAACCAGAAATATAAAATGAAAAGTATGTATCCGTGCTCTATAGGTTTATTGGTTTATATGATATTGGTTAGAAGATTATTTATTATTAATATCTTGGAATTCTACCTTGTTAGTAGTTTGTGGAAAACATACTTTTTCCACACTTTTCAGGGGACATAAGTTCCTAAACGCGGTTTCCCCCATTTCTAACGATCAAAATCTGCAACGTTATCATCTTCAAGCGTATATGTATTTCAAATTTTAATCAAAGAACAAAACTGTATTTTATGTATATCTATGTAATAAAACAAGACATTCGTATATATATATATGTTGTCTATAGCCGGCTAAACGGTTAGACCGATTGGGCTGAATTTTTTTGTGGACACTCATGGGTAGCCAGGGGGTGTTATAGGCTAAAAAAATTCGAATTTGTTATTCAATATATTTTTTTTATTATTATTTTTTTCAAAACTTTTTTTAAATTTTCAGCTAGTACATATATAAAACTCGATCTTTGAATTTGTGCCCATTACGAACACTTAGTGTAGTAATCATAAACCCGTTTTTTAACTCATGTCCCCTGCTTATCTATTTTTCATTATAAAAGAACTAGATTTTCCATATAAATGAATAAGGCATGATACTAAAGGGACTGTAACTTGTAAGCATAATTTACAAATGACCCTCCGTTCAAAGGTGACAATATTTGATTCACAACGGTACCCTCGAACCCTTTATCTGATCAAAAATGTGGAAGATAGTGTCAATTTTAAAGGAAAACCCCAATTGAAAATAATCCATTTTAGAAATGGATCAAACTGAGCTTGAAGAAGTACCGTTGTATATTGGGCATCACTAATCACAATGTTTAAAGGGAGTGACCGGCTATGTGAGGTAGTTGAACTGAGTATGCAGTGTTGTGGAAAACTTCTTTCGGATTCATTTGAGACATATTAAACTTTTTAAAGATCTGTAAATCCTGAGTTTGAGCGCAAATTCGACGTTCAAAACTCCTACTTTGGGGTTGGATACGTTTTCAGAATTTTTGATTTTGTTTTTTTAAATAATATTTCACTGGCGCTGGATATTCGAACATTCCTGGAAATACGAAAATGTTGTCTTCATTATAACAAATCCTCGAAACAGGAATAAATGTTTTCAAAGTAACTATCAGATCATAAAAAAAGATATTATGAAATATCAACTTTCTACGAATGCGTCGAAAAATGATCAATGATTACTGGTTGTAATATCTGAATGATTTGTTTGGAATTAAATTGATTATTTTACGACCGAGTTGAATGTTGCAACTTTTGAATTTGTAGGGACGCTGCGTTCTTTAGCAAAAGTCGTTTTAAACAATTCACTCCTTATAGACACTACAGATAGAAGTAAGATTAGTAGCGATCAAACGCGCTTATTTTTCAACGTAAGCCTATACCCCCTTTTATTTTTCCTGAACACTTCCTTTAAGTGGCATGTCCGATTCACAAATATACCCTTTAAACCGGTATCTGATCAATAAAGTTGAAAAACATATTCTTACGTTTGTCCAAAAAAGTGTTTAAGTCTGATAGTCTGATAGTCACCGCTAGAGAAACTAGTATTGAAATGATCAATTTTTAAAGAGAAAATAATGGATATTAATGACTATTTTTTGCCTGACACTCTCTTTAAATTTCTTGATGTAAGAAGGTAACATGTTTGTACTGTGTACCCCTTCTATTAGTATTGATTAGGTAAACACATTATGCTTCAAAAATATTGAATATTAATAATAAACTTAACCTTACACCAGGTGCTTAGAAATGGAAACTTTTTAATAAGCAGACTAAGTTTAACATATTAAAATTTTTAATCATTTAAATCCTTAAAACTTTTGATAAATCTATTCAATTCTATATCCATGCATCAAATTTCAAATTGTTTAAAAATCGTTTATTGCGCATTTTGCCTGTACATTTTTGCCATAGCGCGCAACAATTTTGCATTTTTGGGCTTCTTGAAAATCAAAATTTTGTTCAAAAATCTCATTTTTGCGCGAAATTTCGCACAAATTTTGTTCGCAAATATTATTTATGAAATAAACATAAAATCGGATTGAAAAGTTTCCGTGTCATGTTTCCCAATATTTCCTCGTTAAATGTTAATATTAAGGCAAATCAACTATAACGTAACCCTAATCAGAAAGGAGTGGAAAGAAGTGGGGAGGGGGGGGGGTCTCAATTCAAATTTTATTTGATATCAGCGCGCTCTTCCACAATAGCAGCATTTTTTTTAATACATATTTCTTTGGTACAGTTAAATTTTAAAGGTTTCTCACAAATGACGTCTAAGATGAAGGTTCGCGTAAAATTTTTTCTCTCGAAATATTTTTGTGACACTTTTGCTCTTATGATTTTGTTTTATTCCTTTGACACATTTGTCATCTTTTTTCTGAACGCTAAAGATTGGAATTTACACTTTTTGATCTATAAAAGACGTTCAGGTCGTCATTAAAGTATGATACTCATGGGGCAACCTTGAATTTAGAAAATGATAAACATTTTTCTGCGCCATTTTCCTTTTGTTTTGCAATAACCAAACCAAATATTAAGCGGGACTGGTCGTCGTTGTATACGGAGAAAAACCAGTTTCCAACCTAACCATAATCAATCAATTTATCAATCAAGTTTTGTAGAGTGCAATACAGTAAATATAAGAGATTTCTTAATAAAGTCTTTTCACAACAAAATTAAATTTTCTAATTTCCATATCTTGATATTTCAAGCTTAGATAATTTGATCAAACAAAATTCATAGTTTGAAATATCTAAGGTCAAACGACATTGGGTTGCAATATAAAGGTAAGAAAATCAGAGTGTGTGACAAAGGGTCAATTCCTTTATTAGAATGGCCGAGTATTTTTAGACATTCGATCAAAGTTAAATGAGATTCTATAAAAGCAAAAAGCAAAAAGCGTATTCAATTCTTTCAGAGATTTCAACAATAACAAACCTTAAAAGTAAACAAGGCATACACAAACAATTTCTCCAAATTGATTGATTGATTGATTGATTAGTTCCTTCAGGTATTCCGAGTGTGAGAACATTGGATCAATCCCTGAACCAGAGTTTAGAAAAAACGAGAAATCATGTTGAGTGATGGACGGAAGGCTGCCATATTTTCCGTACACTGCCACATTTCTGCCCCCTGCAAAGAAAGATGGTGAAAACCTTCAATAAAAAAGTTTAAACTTTAAAAACAATAAAAAATAATAGAGTTATAATGGTCAGTTTTTCTTTGCATAACATAAAAAAATATTTTGAACCGTTAAAATTCAGCTTTTATTCGAACAATAAAAAAGATTGTAATCAACGCTTGAAACTTATAGACAGGATCTGATGAACATAAGACACATCAATTGTGCAGTGCACACAGACCCAATTCATTAAATAAGTTAATTTCTAAGCTATATGCATTTTAAAAACATTAATTACACTTACAAATTGCATTCTTGTTCTTATTCTACAGTTTTAAAGGCCTCATTTTTTCTTCGACAAGTTTCTAGTGTTGTTTTAGGGTCTAGTTTTGGACAAGGTTTTAGTTTTGGACAAGTTTTTAGTTTTTCTGCAAGATTCTAGTTTAGGACAAGTTTTTAGTTTTGGACAAGTTTCTAGTTTTGGACAAATTTTTAGTTTTTCGGCAAGTTTCTAGTTTGGGACAAGTTTTTAGTTTTCGACAAGTTTCTAGTTTTGGACAAGATTCTAGTTTTCGACAACTTTCTAGTCTTGGACAATATTCTAGTTTTGGACAATATTCTAGTTTGGACAAGTTCCAATAATTTTGGTAACGATTTTAGTTTTGGGCAAGTTTCTATAGTTTTGGATAAGATTCTAGTTTTGGACAATATTCTAGTTTTGGACAAGATTCTAGTTTGGGACAAAATTTCCAGCTTTGAAAAATTTCTTGTTTCCAACAAGATTCTAATTTTGAATACATTTCTAGTTTTGGACAAGATTATAGTTTTGGACAAGTTTGAATGGGACCACTGCAATATACCTAATTTTAGATGAATTTCATGTTTTGGACAAGATACAAGTTTTGGACAAGTTTGATCGGGACCACTGCAATATACCTAATTTTAGATGAATTTCATGTTTTGGACAAGATACAGGTTTTGGACAAGTTTGATTGGGAGCACTGTAATGTACCTGTTAGTGCAGTAATGTTGATGTAATAAAAGGATTGTGTAAGGATTTCCATTTCACCACTCCAGAAGGAGAAAGGTTCTGAATTCCACAAACATGGTTAAAAATTATATATTTTAATTTTTACTCAGTTTAAGTGTTGCCTAGGATCCAAGTTTACGGATCCAACTCACCTCCTCACACCGAAAAATTGGAATAAAGAAAGTGAACACTTGCATTTAACTAGGGTGGGTACCCCTGGCCGCCATGAGCCTCCGCTTTACAGCATTAAAGCCTCCCAGATGTGCCAGGCCAGTAAGAGCCTGTATGATGGAGTCTTGTGCTGTATAGCAGATCTGGAAGGCTCGGTCTGCAGTGCGGAGGCTCATGGCGGCCAGGGGTTCCTTCCCTCACCAAACTCTATTTTCATAACTATTTTATCTTACCAGATAAATTGCTTGAACCAAGGAAGTTAAGAAACTTCCGTAAAAGTGTACTGCAGTTTCCGGGAGGAATGTAAACAAAGGATATTTCTTGGTTTGAAATATATAAATGTGGTTGCATACATGACATCAGAGATTCAAAGATTTCAGACATTAAAAACATCTTTTTCTTTTGATAAATAGTTGAAAATGTAAATTTTTTTTTATTTTTCTGATTTGAACACGTTCGGTTTTCAAAAAATGGTCGAATGGTTTAATGAAAGAGAAAATGCAAGATTACAATTAAAAATGTAAAATTATAGACCTAATTAAATAATCAGAGAGGTCGCTGAACTACCTACCACCTGTTCAAATCCTGAATCATCGATTTAAACATTCATGAATTTTTAACTTTGAATCATTCATTCATTAAATTCGGTCCTTGGACATTCTATTTTCTAGTTTATATATAGCTTTATATCGAGATATATATTAGATAAATATATATATATAAAAGAGGCAAGAATATCTATATATTGCTTCAGTAATTTATCGGGTTTGTCAAAGTCAATTCCCGTTTCCCCTAGGGACAAGTGTACATCGGTGATCTCTATAATTCCAATTCAAAACTCAATTTATTCCTTTTCTTTTTAATTATCTATTTAAAGAGTTCTTATGTCCCATACCAGATTCACAACGGTATCTTTTACACGTTTATTTATCTTATTGATTAATTGATTTATTTATTTCTGAAAAAAAACTTAATTAAATTTTTTTTCCTGGCTATTTCTACTCGAATTGAAGGCGAGATATATTATTATTTAACCCTATTTCTATAGAGGGAAAGGGAAAAGGGGACAGGTTTATTTTTGTGAACACTCATTCTATCGATCAATCGTAAATTCTCTTACAAGTTTGTTTTATACTCCTGGAAAATTCTAATATATTTGTTAAATATAAGATTCAAATTTGAAATTCGATTTAAATGAACAAACTTATTCAGTTTTAAATATAACTTTATTTACTTTATCATTCACCTCAGATGTAAGTGAGGTTTTAAAGAGTATAAAAAAAATTGCAAATTGCAATTACATTTGAAGATAATTTTTTATATCATTTACATCAATGGTTTCTGTTTGACAACACCAGTATAAAACTAGGGCCAATTGAATAGTTTTGTCAAGAGTGTATGAAGTTTAAAAGCCTATCAACCATTGTCTGAAAATTGATTTTTACGCACAATTTGTTTAACAATTGTTTAATACAAAAATTTGCATGTCTAGTTTAGCATAAAAGATAAAGATCACTATTTCCTAATAAACTTTGTAATACCTCTGTGAAGTCAAACGCATTTTTCAAATCAAAATGGCAGTTTTAATTGAACGTGAAATATCTGTTAAAACCTCAATGCCTCTTTTTAAAAACTTATCTCAATGCTTTTGCGTAAATATACAAAAAATTGTAAACAGTAATTTCATGAACTGGGGTTTGATAAAGCTAATTCTGGGGCTATTCTAAAACATCACAGTGAGATGTGTATAAAGACCCAATCCCCCTTTTAAGGGGCATATTTTTAAGTTTTTTTTGGGGGGTGGGGGCAGCCGCTTGAGAACCTTTTTATACGGGGGAGGGGGGGGGCTCAGACTGTGTATCCCCCCCTGATAATGTCTTTGTTTCTCTTCTCAGTTCTCAAGTTCCTATAGCATAAAGGAGGTATTATGTAATGAAATGAAGCTAGGTATATTGAAGCACTGTTATATGAGTGTATTGGTAAATGTATGTTGAACCGATATTAACATATTCAAATAATAGTCAAATCTGCCATATTCCCATTCCCCTATATATCTATATATTTCATATCTATTTATCTACAGTATATATTTGCTTTCATGTTAGGTTGATATCATTTCTACATACTCATTGAATATTACTCAAAGCTTGTAAAGTTAAACCATTTCCAAGATTTTCTATTTCCAAGATAGATTTTTAAACGTTGTTTATACTATCTAATGTATGACTTTGATAATTTCTATATCTTTGCAACTGGATGGTGTAAATAAACCTTAAATATTTCAAACTTCGCCTAATAGATCTAACAAAACTCAAAGATTTAAGAATTAAAAATCAGAGATTGTGACAAAACTCAGTTCTTCTGAGGAATTCATACTGAAATGAAAATGTTTACAACATAAAGGCTCTTCCCCATGGACTAGCCAGAGCTAGCTGTATTCGGTCACTAAAAACTGTTTTCAGTGACATTTTTGTCTTAAATTGAATCAATACAAAATTTAACTTCTTCTTTGTTATTTTTCTAACCTGAGATATTATAAACTTTCAGACTATTTGATTAGAATAAATGATTTTGCTGATGTTTGTGAATTCCTAGACTTGATTTCAGCCATTGATCAGGAATCAGGTTTACGGAAGGAAGCTGGTTACGGGGCCGAGGATTAAACTCAGAATCTAAAAATGATTAATTGATTAGTTTATTAGTTGATTAATCGATTAATTGATTAATTGATTAATAGATCAATTGATTTATTAATTAATTGATTAATTGATTAATTGATTAATCAATTTATTGATTAATTGATTAACTAATTAATTGATCACTCAATGAATTGATTAATCATCAAATTGATCAATTGATTAATTGATTAATTTATTCATTGATTAATTTATTATTTGATTTATTTATTACTTGATTATTTTATAATTGATTAATTGATTGATTGAATACTTGATTACTTAATTGATTGTTTAAATTGATTAATTGATTATTTAATTAATTGAATAATCAATTAATTGATCAAATAATTGATTAATTTATTTACTGCTTAATTAATTAATTGACCCATGATAATTTTTATAAATATTTAATCTTATTATTTACCAATCAACGCCAATTACAAACCATTAACAGTTTATAATTCATCTTTATTAACAAACTAATGGTTGTTGTTGAATAAAGAAATATTCAGAACATTTAACAAAATCAAATAAATCTATTTAACTAAAATATTTCAATTAAATATGATTCCAAGATTCGCTTTAAACTTACTTTTTACACTTTTTATTCATTCAAATCTTTTATTAAACTTGCTAAAACTTCGTTAAAACATATTTTTAACTTAACAAGTGCCGTTTAGACATATTTTTAACTTTATAACAATGTTCTTTAAACCTATATTTTCATTTTTTAACGCATGTCTTTTATTTTTATTTTTAACTATATAACAAATACCCTTTGAACATTTTTCTAACTTGATAACAAATACCCTTTAATTATATTTCAACTTGACAACAATACACTTAAGGCCTATTTTAAACTTGATAATATATGCCCTTTAACCTTAATTTTAACTTGATAACAATGCCTTTAGACATATTTAAAACTTGATAACATATGCCCTTTAAACTTAATTTTAACTTGATAACAATGCCCTTAATTTAGACATATTTTAAACTTGATAACATATACCCTTTAAACTTAACTTTAAATTGATAACAATGCCCTTAAGACATATTTAAAACTTGATAACATATATGCTCTTAATTTTAACTCGATAACAATGCCCTTTAGACATATTATGCCCTTTAAATTTTATTTTAACTTGATTAGAAATGCCTTTAATTTAACTTATTTCAAAACTTTTCTCGAATCCTCTTAAGTTTGGCTTGGTAGAGAACCACTTCTAATGTAAACAATGGTTTTGTAAACAACCCCGGCCCTGGTTCAATAACATTTAGTTTAGTTACTCTGTAAAAAAATAAACAATAAAATAAACAAATAGATTCCAGCAACAAAATATTTGATAAGAAATGGAAAAGAACATGCTATATGGTAAAACTACAATTTTCTACAATTACCCCCCCCCCCTCCACCCCTATTGCGCCTCTTGGGGGAAGGGGGGGCGAATATATATCACCATATCAATTTGAAATATTTACCAATATTAAAGCTCTGTTCTTGTTGAGTATCAATGAGGGGTATGCAGGCACTGTCCTGTAATGAAAGATATCTTAAAGGTACTTTAGTCGTAATTTTAGTTGAATTTCCATTTATGGGGTATGTCAGATTCACACAAGTACACTTTAAAGCTTTGTCTGTTTGAGAATCAATATTCAATAACCCATGTCATGCTTTTAAAAATCATTATTTTTAATTGCATGGTTTCTTTTCAAACGTAACAATTCTGAGATCAGAAAAATGATGCTCTTGTGAATCGGACGTGCTTTTTTCTTTACTAGAAGGTCACTTGCAAATCAACAAACCCTTGATTTGCATTCTTTGATTTAGATTTTAATTTTGATAATTAATTCCTTTTGTATTATATATTGTAGTATAGCAACAAACAGACTCACGCTTCCCTTCAGGTATTTATACCTAGTCTCTGTTGCAAACTAGGACAAAGTTATGTGGACGCACCAATAATGCATGCAATACAGTAAGGACGCACACTATGAAGGTACACATTGAGGATACACATTGAGGACACACATTGAGGACACACATTGAGGTCACACATTGAGGACGCCCATGAAGGACACACAAATACTTCAACCATATATGATTGAGCAGATACTTCTGAGAATTCACATACAATGTGACAAGCATACATCGCACCCTATTAATATTAGGCTACCTACGCCGCTATGCGTCAATAAGAATTATCAGTAAGTTGTAATTCAATGCTTCTTACAAATTTGTTAAAAAAATGTTTTAATTAACAATGATAATTATTATTTTACCTGGAACCCGCTGCTGTCTATCACAGAATTAGGTAAAGGAGGTGTAACCTCCCCTGTGTATCTCACAGCTAAAATAAGAATTTTTTCATTCATCAATTTAAATAATTTTGGCGTGAGAGTGGCAATCTCCTTATTCACCCCATATTTAAAATCATAATAAGCCCCATTCTCAAAAATGTCAAATCGTGCTAACATGGTTTCAATCAAATGTTTGAAAGTTCTCATGCAAAAATCGATTTTCCAATTAATTTTTTAAAAAATAAGGATGCTGAAACTCTTCTAAAATGTATAATAGCTTATGGACTATAAACAAGTATAATATATATAGGACTGTTCTTCTGAAGAATAATTTTACTCGTGCAGTTCGAAATTCAAGTTGACGAAAGATTCGTTTTATAAGGAACCAGCATAGTTTTGCTTACAAAATAGGTGTAACGCTATGGAAAGGAAACGCTCATTGTTCCTAGTAAATTGTTTTTGTTTTTATTTTCAAATGTCAAAATGATAAAAATCTTAAAATCTAATTTCCCCTTTTTGCACAATATAAATAAAATTATGTACGTTTACAGAATGTTCTCTTGCTTAATCTCGACACTTTTTTCTTTGTCTCTGCTGTATAAATCCGCAAGTTAGTTAAACAAATAAACCAGCATAAACGAGGATAGATATATTTATTGTCTTTGCTCCGACGACGGCGCGCAATTGTGAATCAAACATTCTCAGCTTTTTAAATTGCAAGTCACCTCGATCCCATTAATTAAAAACTTCATCGTGCAGAACAAATTTGAAATGTAAATTGAGGGGAGAAAATAATGGAAAATTGAATAATTAATCTTGAAAATGTCAACTGTATTTGCTAATTTAAGTTTAAAAGGGACTAGGAACATAATTTCAAGTAACCATCCAGTTATAGTTAGAGGCACTGTGGTTTAAAGGTCTCACGCTCTCAAGCAAAAATTATTGAGAATTTTGCCAATTACTTCTTAAAAACCAAAGCTAACTTATAATGCTAAAATGTACATGTAAAGGGCTACAGAAAAGTATAAGGGAGTTAGAGCGGTAAAATCTAAGCCCAAGACGTAGCGACACTTCAAAGTCGACCCTGTCTTAAAAATTGATAAGAATGTTTATAAGCAGACTGAATCTATGTGGAGGAGCATACCAGATTCACAACAATACGTTTTAAACGATCAACGTTTTCTAAATTGAAATGGTTTTATTTTATAAAAATCTCAAATTGAATTGAAAATATTTAATTGTTTGAGGAGAAGTCACGGGAATCTTATTCATTCTTTAACAGACAAAGAATATCATGGTACCGTTGTGAATCAGATATTCCACGTTATAAATGGAAAGTTCATTTTATCTCTAAAACATATCGCCATCCAAAATTCATATATTTTTAATTTGTTGATGTAAATTGGATATGCCACTTTAAAGTCACTAGAAATTACATGTACGGTCCCGTAATCCCCCTTTCTCAATCTAGTTTTTAGAATGCAATTCAAAATCAAGCGAATAATATTTTAGCCTCATTTATACCTTTTTGTAATTTAGGACATGAAAGTTTTAAACTAAAGAACTTAATTTGAACTTTGGAATAATTCTAAAAAGGAATTGGCAAATTTCGCATCGATTTGTGTGGCAAGAGCTTGCAAACTTTGGATTACAGTAATCCTGTCCACTCTTTAGTAAATACACCCTTCATTACTTAATTTTTTAGTAAATACACCCTTCATTACTTTATTTTTTAGTAAATACACCCTTCATTACTTTATTTTTTAATAAATACACCCTTCATTACTTGATTTTTTAGTAAATACACCCTTCATTACTTGATTTTTTAGTAAATACACCCTTCGTTACTTGATTATTTAGTAAATACACCCTTCATTACTTGATTTTTTAGTAAATACATCCTTCATTACTTGATTTTTTAGTAAATACACCCTTCATTACTTGATTTTTAGTAAATACACCCTTCATTACTTGATTTTTTAGTAAATACACCCTTCATTACTTGATTATTTTATTACCTCCAAAATATATAATAATTGATGAGAGAAGAAGTGTGAGTATTGTTAAACAAACAGACACCAGGCGCCACGAACACACAAACCCACTTCTCATCATTCCTTTTTCTCTGAATATCAATCAATCAATCATTCGTTCTAGTTCTAGTTCTAGTTCTAGTTCTAGTTCTAGTTCTAGTTCTAGTTCTAGTTCTAGTTCTAGTTCTAGTTCTAGTTCTAGTTCCAGTTCTAGCTCTTGTTTCCAGCTAAACATCTGTTTTCTCTCAAGAATTATTTTCATTTCAGAAAATGTACACCTTTAAAGTCTTTCTGTCTATCTGTTTATCTTTCAATCTATTCATATTTATATTAGTTCAATAGTCCAGGGTGTCCCAATGTATTTATATTAGTTCAACTGTCCAGGGTGTTCCAATGAATATGCAAATTAAAAGACTCAAAGATCATCCTGGATTTTGCTAGCTGTCCAGCGAATTTGAATAACATCAAGTTTTTACTGTGTGCTTATGTTAATTTAACTTGAAAGTTGATTTTTAACCTACTCGTTAAATAATTTGTTAAAAACTTCAACAAATACACATACATCAGATTGCTGAAATGTCGTCCTCCTATTCCACACTTTTATGGGTTCCACTTTATACATCTAGATATACCTAGAGGGTGAGTAGGGTATGGGTAGGGTAGAAGATGTTAATGTTTGAACAGGGAATCCAGGCATTCCTACACAATCCTTAGTAGGAGTCACGGGTTCAGGTCTAGCGTAGGTAGAATCCTCAGAGTAACTGGAAAATAGGGATTGTTAGTAATATTACTCAGAGTAACTGGAAAATAGGGGTTGTTAGTAATATTACTGGGAAAAGGATTGTTATTGGTATTACTCTGAGTAACTGGAAAAAGGATTATCTATCTATATAAAGTTGCAATCTCTTTTTGTCTGTTTGTCTGTCTGTTTATTTGTCCGATCATAACTAGGAACCCCTGAACCGATTTGCCTCCAATTTTAATTGGGGAACTCTGGAGGTCCACGGGAATGTTCTTAGCTTGGTTATGAGATTCTTGGTTGAGTCGACTTTAATTTAGTATACCGGTAAAATCGTTCAAGTGCGGGTAAACGGCGGGAGTAACTTTTATTAACCTTGGCAGCTCTGGGTTTGCAAGCTAGTACGTAAGTTTATAATATAACTTAGTAATATTACTCAGAGTAACTGGATATATGGATAATTAGTAATTTTGCTCAGAGTAACTGGGAATTAGGGATTGATAGTAATATTAGAGCAAAGGAGTTGAGTTTTTGCCACAAACTCTGATTTTCTAATCTCTATATCTTTGTAACCCAATGTTGTAGACCTTAGATATTTCAAACTATTAATACTTATAGATAGAATAGTCTAAGTTTGAAATATGAAAGGTTTGCACCTTAAGATTGCAAAGATATTGGAATCAGAAGATTTTAATTTGTGGCAAAAACTCAATTCCTTTCGACCAAAAAAAACAGGATAAAACGAGACAGTTTCAAGTCACACTCTTTCAAAACTGAAATAAAAAATACCTTCGTCTATGGGATTTAATTTTGAGGCTGTTTTGAGAAAGGAGGTCAGGAGGTCGACCTTGAGTTTGACCTCCTCCAGATCTCAGGTAGTCTAAAACAAATTATTATTAAGAAAAAAATCTATAAATTACAAAATGAGTCGAAAAACAAAATGCTTAAAGAAAAATTAGTGATGTTTATATTCCAACACTATTCCTGTTTTTGACTGTATTGTAGTATCTAACTTATTTCGAACTTATATTCCTTATAAAAGATCTATTTTATCAGTTTATTTGTTAAAATATATCGACTTTTACCTATTTACGTATGTTTTAAAATCGAATATCCATATATTCTTATGCATAATATAATATAAATATAAAATAATAAATATAAAATTTTGGATGTTCATTTCTTATTTTTTACCTCTTTTCTAAACTTGAATATATTTTTCATGCATTAAAATATTAAAATGTAAATCCGAGATAAGTCGTGTTGAAACGATACTAAGCCTCAAATTTAAGTATAAAAGTTGTTAAAGACAAGTAAACCCCTGAGTTTTGATACCAGGTATTAAATATAGTGCTTTACAAAATTATAATACGGCGGCTACAGACAAAATAAAAAGATCTTTAAGAATTCGAACTTTGTGCAGTTACATCTATATATATTACTTTGAAATAACAAAAAATCGATGATTTTTTCGTAAAAATTTGAATATTAACAGTGTTGCAATTAAATTAATCTTTATTGCCCCCCCCCCATTTTTTATAATGTAAAAACAATGTCACTCTTTTCTCTGTTAAAACATATTTTTTTTGACTTTGATTAGTTTCTGTTTTTGTCGTTGGCACTAGCCGAGCTTGATGTTTAATACTAGTTTAAACTTTCTAAGTTTATCTAACTCCATGAAACTTAATCTAGATTATCTTAGAAAGAAGAAGAAAACGAAATCTTTGAGAAACACAATTCTACCTTTACTAAACCTTATCAAAGAGGTTCAGCAGGTTTCGAATTACAAGTGTGTCCAAAAAAAACAGGAATCTTAGAATTTGGCAACTTATTTGATTTCATTTTTTCTTTTTTTCCCCCCTTTACTTTCCCATTCTGTCATTTATTCCCCCACCTTCCTTATTAACCATTTTTCTTCATTTTCCTTCCCAATTTCTCCTTTCCCCCCCTCAGTTACCCATTTTACTGATTATTCCCTTTTTCTCCCTTATTCTTCTACATCATCTTTCTTTATCCATTCCCCTTTTTACTCTCTTTTTCTCTCCATTTCTCCATTCTGAACCCTTTCCCCCGGTAACCCCTTTTTCCCCTTTCTCCCAAATATTACCTTTTCTTCCGATTACTCCATTTTCTCCCCCCTATATTACTCCCTCCCCATTAAATCAATTTCTCCTTTTTCTACTCTTTATCCCTTTTTCCCTATTCCTTCTTTTTCTCTCTCTTTTCTCATAATTTCTCATTTTCCCCCCATTACTCCCTTTTTTCTTCCCAATTACTCCCTGCCCCCGGCCCTCTTTCTCCCTTACCCCTCATGGGTTTTATATATCTTGGGAATTTCAGGACAAGCTCCAAGCTAAATATAGGACCTAGATTTTCACAGAGCAGAAAATACCATCTATCTGGTCGATCCGTATCCCTCCTTTATTTGGCCCCTATCCCTCATCTATCTGGGCCCAATACTCCTCTATCTAGTCCCCTTCTCTCCCTTATCTGGTTCCTATCCTCCATTATTTTGTCCCTATCATCCTCTATCTGGTCCCTATCCTCCTCTATATTGTCCCTATCCTCCTCTAGCTGGTCCATATCCTCCTTTATCCGGTCCCTCTCCTCCTCTTTTTGGTTCCTATACCTCCTTTATCTGGTCCATTTCCATCCTATCTGACCCCTTTTCTTTCTCCCCTATCTGGTACCTATCCCCCTATCCCTCCCCCTCAATCTGGTTTAAATTGATTGATAGATAAATCAGCTTTAAAGCTTTGATCTTCAAACATAATTTTTTTTCTTACTTTCAAAAGGAAGGACCATTCAAACTCAATCCCCTCACTCTATTTAACTTTCCCCCTCTTTACAACAAATTTGATTCCCGACCTCCTCCCCCTCCCCTCTCTTCCTGATTAAATTCCTCAACTAACCCCCCACCCCCATCCTTCTAACTCTTCTATATATATAACAGCTTAATCATGAGACTAAAGAAGTAAAGAGCGTTAATGATGTCTTTATTATTTTATGAATGAAAAGACCAAACTTGTATTATGATTTTTAAAAAAGTGCACAATAGGTTCTCTTATGTATAAAACAGCTGAAGGTTCTATACAATACACTGCCCCCTCCCTTCTTCTGTACCACTAAAAAACTAATCTCCCGTATAATCCGCCACATATGTTGATAATAATAAATATGTTTGCAAACCTTGATAATCCTTTAATTTATCCCTTTCCCTGTATACCTAAATACCCTGTCTATCCCATGGTAACCGTAATCCCTCGACCCCCCCCCCCAACCCAACCCCTAAGCACACAGTGTGTCCCAATAAATATGTGTACTAAGTGATATCTTTAATACATAAATAACATTTCGATAGCTACGCAGTTAAAGCATTTAACATACATCTAGCCTCGCCAATTCCAAAATGTTGTCTACCATTCGTGCACCTTAAAATTTAATTAAATTAATTATATGTTTGATAACTCCTTCAATTTTAAAGATATAGAGATATAGAGACCACATTTTGAAAAGCTCACTATATTTTTTGTCATCTGTCATCTATTAGAAATACAAGTCGTCTCCTAAATTCCATGTTTATTGGGGCACCATGTATTTCACATTAACACATGTACAGTAAACAGAATACAACTGTTTAAAGGGAAAATCTATAATAATTTAATCCTCTACACACATTTTGCCGATTGTATTTACATTTTAATAAACCAAAGTTTTAAAATATTAAATGTATTTTTGTTAGTTTACACTTATTCATTAGTTTAGCATTATTCGCATTATCCGTCAGACAGTTTCGCATTATTCGCATAATCAGTCAGACAGTTTCGCATTATTCGCAGAATCAGTCAGACAGTTTCGCATTATTCGCATTATCAGTCAGACAGTTTCGTATTATTCTCATTATCAGTCAGACAGTTTCGCATTATTCACATAATCAGTCAGACAGTTTCGCATTATTCGCATCATCAGTCAGACAGCTTTGTATTATTCGCATTATCAGTCAGACAGTTTCGCATTATTCGCATTATCAGTCAGACAGTTTCGCATTATTCGCATTATCAGTCAGACAGTTTCGCATTATTTGCATTATCAGTCAGACAGCTTCGCATTATTCGCATTATCAGTCAGACTTGTTTCGCATTATTCGCATCATCAGTTAGACAATTTCGCATTATTCGCATTATCAGTCAGACAGTTTCGCATTTTTCGCATTATCAGTCAGACAGTTTCGCATTATTCGCATTATCAGTCAGACAGTTTCGCATTATTCGCATTATTAGTCAGACTTGTTTTGCATTATTCGCATAATCAGTTAGACAGTTTCGCATTATATGCATTATCAGTCAGACAGTTTGGCATGTTATTGTTTACAGTGGTGTATATAATATTTCATATTTTTTAATGCAATAAAGCTAGTTCCTGGTCTGTCCAAATACGTCACAGTTAATTGAAAACAAAAACAGTTTCCTCCCTTCTTAGTTCGACTCCCATTGATTATTTGGACTATTGACCTGAAGGCCTGTATTGTTAATTTTGAAAATTAAAATATTATTCGGAAATATTAATTAACTAAGTTTGCGGGCAGCAGTGCAAAGTCCCGCCATATTGAAAACAAAAATGGCGGATTTAAAACATGGCGGATTTTTGTAAAAAGTTGTTTTATTAAAACCAACTGTAATCCCGTGTTGTATACTATATAGACATTTTGTTGGCATGGTGAGGGGGGAATTTGTGTTCACTCCATTAAAAATATATTTACGAGCTGAAAGTGTCCCATTATTAAAATCTCAATTGTCTTTTACACATTTTTAAATTTAGAAGACAGTAAATGTGAACAGTAAAATGTCCGATTTCCCGCGTTTTCCTGTAATCTACTTCAGATCTACAAAACCCCCTCCCCTCGCCCCCAAACATTTTTTTTAAACAATGGCTTTAATTTATTTGGGTATTCCATAAGAAATCTTTTATTTCATGGAGGTATGTGTAGAACTCAAAAGTGACGAATAGGGTATTACATTCTACTGTGACGTAATAGGACACCTGTTTGAATCAATTTTATTGTAAGCAAATCACAATAAAATGTAAACAACCTCCTATCCTTAATTCTACTCACATTGGTTCATTTAGCAATGTGCATCCTATGCTACTACACGCTTGATCCTTTTTATTGATATTGCTGATTGTTTTTTTTCCCTTGATGCAGTAGAGTGAACCTATAGAACACGGAGNCACCACATACATATGCTTTAGTACGCTTAACAATCTGCTATCCTCCACCTAAACAATTTAAAAAATGTCCAAATTATTATCAATAAGACCCTTCTTTAAAACAAGATTTTCGAGATTACATATCGTTTTGGTAGCACCTCCCCCCCCCACCTTCCCTTCATAGAACCGATCCAAAACTTTTATTTGAAATATTCTGTCTTGAATTCCCTAGGCTCAGAATCCATTGAATAGTTTAACATGAATTTGTCTTTTCTTTACATATATCATGATATTGGGGAACTGCATAATCTATAGAATATATATGAATATACTTTTATATATATATCTATAAAGTATTAATTTCTGTTTTCTTTTATTTTCGATTAAACCTTATGAACTCGATTTGCCTCAAATTTGGATTGGGGGTACTCGGTAGAACAACGGGAATGTTTTTATTCTGTTTTACCATTATAGCTGTTGAGTAAGTTTCCAGGCAAAGCTGGGTTTCCAAGCTAGTAGGAGCATAAAAGTGTATCATGAAAAAAGGGTTAAAAATACATTTTTCAAAACAATAAAAATAAAAGAATATGTTTGATTTCTTGTTTTTCAATACGTGAAATATTATTTTTTATGATTTAACGAAAAATTTCAACTCAACAACTTTTTTTTCAAATAAAACTCATGCTAATATTTTAATTGTTTTTTTTTGTTGAAACCTAATTTTTTAAAGGGTTAGGAGAGGAAAGTTTACGATGTAATAATTTTAAATAAAAAATCAACTTTAGAAGTTTACAATTTAATTAAGTTGAATTTTAAACATTCAAATCTGAGCCCTTCGTCCCCCTCATCCCCCTTTTCCCTATGGAACTTTGTCAAAACTTTATCGTTTCAAAAATTTTAACAATTTAAAAGAATTTTCGAACAAGCTTAAACTTTGATATCTTCAAGAAACAATTCTATTTTAATACTCTTATTAAAACTTTTTATTTTTTCTTAATCGTTTTTAAATGACATTTATTTTTTCTCCCATTTTGAAATGTGTTCTCCATTCAAAGAATTGCGTGTTCAATTCCCAATGGAACCACTTCAGCGTTTGTCTCAGTGGAAAGCAATGTATACAAAATTAAGTGTTTTTTATTGTTGTTTTCTTCAAATGAGACTTGCAGCACTAGAAAAGAAGTAAAATTAAAATATTTTCAAATGAATAAACCAAAATTTTACACTGTTCGAAGCAGCGCTTTAAATTCAGGTTGTCTTTTGAAATTTTGACTACAGTCCCTTTGTTGAAACAATTTATATCAATCTTCATTTAGGGGCACATTTGCTATCAATGATTCACAACTGAGGTGCAGTGTACTTTTTAAACATAAATCTTATTATCTTCTTATCAAGTTATTGACAACATTACACCAGAGCTTAAACAAAATCCAACTTATGAACTCAAACAGCAAAGATGGAAATTAAACATGCCAATGTTTGTAAAATCTCGATAAAAACACGTTTTTCGATTTTTAGGTTTATGAAACGATCTCTTTCAGTAAGGGATTAACTTCGCTAACTAGCTATTTCAGCAAAATAGAAAATACTAGTTTTGATCTCGGTTTAAGTACATGCTGTTGTAATCCAAAAATTTAGCATGTTCCAAATAATATTTTGACAAAAATAACATTCTTATAAAATGTTACCTAACATATAACAAAGATGCATTGCTTCTGATAAAATAAGAAAAAGAGAATAAAACTGTTCACCAATTTTATATATTTCCTGTCCAATTTTATACATTTCCTGTCCAATTTATGTATTTCCTGTCCAATTTATGTATTTCCAGTCCAATTTATGTATTTCCTGTCCAATTTTATGTATTTTCTGTCCAATTTATGTATTTCCTGTCCAATTTTATGTATTTCCTGTCCAATTTATGTATTTCCTGCCCAATTTATGTATTTCCTGTCCAATTTTATGTATTTTCTGTCCAATTTATGTATTTTCTGTCCAATTTTATGTATTTTCTGTCCAATTTATGTATTTCCTGTCCAATTTATGTGTTTTCTGTCCAATTTATGTAAATATCAAACGTAAAATATTCCCTAAACTTCAGAACTTTAAAAAAAAAAATTTTCTTAAAGGGATTGTTGACGCAATTTAAAATTACCCTTTAAATAAAGTATATTTCATTCACAACGTACATTTAATACCTTTAATTAGAAAAGAACAAATTAGAGATCTGCTTGTTTTTTTACCTGAAAATGGATAAATTCCAATTGTGGTGTTTGCGTAAAAGTGACTTGCGAATTTATAGAGCGAAAAAAGGAAATTGACAGAATAAAACACTTTTCAAAAATGCGGAACCCACTTTTCAATCCTACTCTAAATCTATAATTTTTCATATAAAATTGGGCAGATTTTTCTTTATGAATATTATTTTACGACAGTAGTGGTTTTGTTTTACAGTTATTTATGCATTTATGCAGATCTTTTTATCTACTATAAACCTACATTCAAAACTTGGCTGCATAAATATTTTGGTGGACTAGTATAAAGTAATAATCTCTGTTTGTTTGTTTGTATTTCCGATCATAAATCTCAAACCCCTTGATCAATTTACCAAAAATTTTGATTGAGAGAGAACAAAAAGAACTGTTCTTAGATAGATTTCAAAATTACAAGTTGACCTGTTTGATATTTATTTAAAGAAAGTTTCTAAGTAAAGCTGGGTTTCCAAGCTGGTTTACTCTATGACCATTTAATCGTACAGTATACAAAGTGTAGAGTTATAATTGACAAGTGAAAGATTACTTAGATTTTAATAATAAAAAAAATCCTTAAAACCGATTCTTTCAATCCATTTCCTCATATCATGTTTTCCTTTTCGTTTCCTTCGATTCCCTCTATCCTTTTTCTCTCCTTCCTTTTAAGTTCTTCCTCAACTTTTCCCTCCAATTCTATTCTTGGTTCTTTTTTTGTCTCTTTCTTTTTTCTTTCATTTTTCCTGTATTTTCCCTTCATTTCCCCTTCAATTTTCCTTTATTTCCCCTTAATTTACCCTTCATTTACCATTTTTTCCCTTCATTTTCCCTTCATTTTCCCTTCATTTTCCATTCATTTCCCCTTCATTTTCCCTTCATTTCCCCTTCATTTCCCCATCATTTCTCCTTCATTTCCCCTTCATTTCTCCTTCATTTGCCCTTCATTTGCCCTTCATTTCCCCTTCATTTCTCATTCATTTCCCCTTCATTTATTCCTTTAATACCTGTATCTATAGTAGTTTCTCGGAGTCCTGGAGTAAAATTTCCTGGTAGTCTCAACCTTTCAGAAAGGGCTAAACCAGCATCCTAGATAGATTGTGGATAGATAGATAGATAGATAGATTGATATATTATAGATAGATAGATAGATAGAAAGATAGATAGATAGATAGATAGATAGATAGTTTAGTTGTATTAAATTTTCGATAAATAATTCTTTTTGGTTGTTTTTGTTGAAGTCACTTAAAACCTCAAGAGGTGATTAATCACTCAGTTTGTTTAGTTTAGAAAATATTTTAAGTAGATTTAATTTGATTTACCCCGGGGTATAACATCATGTTTAAAGGGACTGTATAGACGTAATTTAATGTAACCCTCCATTAATCTTTAAAGAGACCCTAAAAACTAATTAGTTTCAAATAGAAAAACATGTATATTGTTTGATCCTGGAGTAAAATGTAAAGGGTACCGCTGTGAATAGAACTTACCACGTCATACTGCCTTTAGGTAAATTTAATTTGATTTACACTATCATAAAACATCATCTTTAAACATAAATTGTTGAGTAATTAATTCAGTTTACAAAACACAAGAAATAGAACTTTTTTTGCCAGATTTTCTTTCGTTTTGTTTGCGCATTTTTAGGTTTTAAAGAAAATCAAATTTCTAACAAATGTTTTAGGGTTTTAACAGTATAGACTTGAGTTAGATATGTTATATAGATGGGCCTGTAGCTAATGGTTAAGCTTTTAAAGCAGGCAAGGAAACACCTTTAAAAAAGAACCCGAAATGTAGATAGAGACGGATAGAGAGATTACTTTCAAGTTTGTCAAATAAGAATTCATTTAACAATTTCAAGAATTTGTAATTTGACTTTATAAATAAACTAATGAGTATACTTATGAATATTACAATTTTGAAAAAACATTTGTTGATTCCAAGCCAAGTAATTTAAAATATAAAAGAATATTATTTTAATAAATATAAATCGTAAGATGTAATATTATTAAATTAAAAATGTTTTTAATGTCTAATATACCACTATGACAAAGTCCATAACAGTAACTTTACATAAAGAAAAAAACTATGGAGAAATAAACAGAATAAACTACTTTTAAAAGAAAAAATTAGGTTATCTTCCAAATTATTGACCAGAAAAAGCTTTCAAGATTACCGATGTGAATCGGGCTTGTCTCTCTTTGAATGGAGGGTTCCTTGAAATGATTCATACAGTCCCTTTAAGACCAGGATGAATCAAAGGAAGGAAGGATGAATGAATGAATGAATGAATGATCTGATGTCAATGAGTTCAATTCTCCAGTACCCTTCTCATTGCATGCTGGCTCCCACAATAGACAATGTTTAAATTCCTACTCATGTGTCCGCCCTTAACATCAATAGGATGGTCCGGGGGGAGGGGGGAAGGACGTAGCGTGAAGGAAAAAGAATAAAGGGAAATAAAAAAGGTGAAAGGGGAAAGGGAAAATGTAAATGGTAAAAGCGAAAGGAAAAAGGAAAACAGAGAAATTTGGAAAAGGGAAGAGGAAAAGGAAACGAGGAAAAGGTGAAAGTGAAAGGAAACAGAAAAAAAGGATTACAGGCTTTGGAATTAACGATTGAGTAAAGAGTAGATTAGAATGGAGAAATCGGTGGAATATTGAAGTGTGAACAGAAGAAGTTTTAAAGTAAAAGGCGCAAAAGTATGGAGTAAAGACGGAGAAAGTTTTAAGGTAAACGGCGGAAGATAATTCAGTAAACGAAAAAAGACCATTGTTTAAACAGTGGTCGAGTAGTAAACGGCGGAAGGTTATGAAGTAAACATATTTTTTCCGCCGCCCTTTTATTTACTTCTGCCTCTTATATTCTTCTAAAACTGTCCAATTAGTCGGTTTAAAGCTGTAGAAAAATTGCCAAAACAAACAGGGCAGGCATCATTTAAACCCACACATTTACAGAGTTAACTTTTTTGCCTAGAATAGGACTGACATATCCCCCCTTACCCCCCCCCCCCTCCTCCCTCTTAAGCTTGTTAAAGTTACTCATTAATATTTTAATTAAACTCAAAGACCTGTAAACATTGATTAGAATTATTTAAATTATTCGTGCAGAAACTAAAATATATATATACTGCATTTATGAAAACTTGGAAAGCTAAAAGGGAGAGTCGATTTTGTTTAAAATACTACAGGTCCGATTCATAACGGTACCCTTTAAAACATTAGATAAGTAATTATTTATTTATGAAATATAATAAAAACATACAAAATGAGGTGTTTCAAGAAAAAATAGAGGTTGCGGGAAAATTTTCCCCAATTCTAAAAAAAATTAAAAAAAGGAAAAGGAAAGGGAAAGTTACATATTTATTGTTTGCATTACATTTAATATAATTGATGGTGTGATTGTTAGTATTTTTTGATGATTAACTAACAACTTTTAGAAATAAAAATTATTAATTCATTTGTAATGTTGAAAAAATAAAATAGGCTTTACGGATAGTGAAACAGATATAGGTTCTACACAAAACGGGCATTTTTAAGCATATTTTTAATTCGCTGATCTCAGTTAACTTATCTCAGTTAGCGCATAAAAATATGCATTAAACAGCAATTTCTGCCCTTGTCTCTACTGCATTCATTTTTAAAGGGAACTATTGTCAATCGGAATGGATGGATACTTGACAGTGTGTGTCGTGTGAAGTCTCTTTAATATTTATATCATTAGAATCTTTATATTTGTCCTGCATCAAAACACATTTCTAACTCGCGTTCGTATTTATTCTTGATTATTTTTTCATCTTTTTAACGGATTTGATTATGTCTACGCAAATCCAAGTGACCCTTCATTTAAATACTTGAATGACCGATTGACAGTAGCTTAACCTTAAAAAAAATATCTGAGTAAAGTGTCCCTATTTTTACTTTGTATCTGAACAGTGATTATTTTCTATTGCGGTTATTTATAAAAGTGACTTGTAGATTATTTATACAAAAATTAAAAAAGAAACGAAAAAACGACGATTTCTTCCTAATTTGTAAACGTGAAATGGGAATTGATGATCACTTGAAAAACGTGGACAGTCCCTTATATTCAGACATTTTTTGTTATATATTTTTACACATGTTTATGTTAACATTTCGTCAGGCAGAAGTAGGCTAACAGTGCAATCATATTGTCAAATAAACAGAATAAACATTTAATAAAAATCTTTTTTCAAGTTATCTCATGAAATGAGTTGCATGGACGATACACAACTACCCTGAATCATTTTATCTCAAGAATAGTACTGAAGATACCTTTAGTTTTTTATCTCAAAAATTGTCTTTTTGCCTCTAGTGCATACATTCGCGCAATTGGGCATTCTTATGTTTTCAAACAGAAAAAATGAGAATATTGTTATCTATTTTATTAAACTAAGATTTTTAAAGGGCGTTATGCCCCTTTTTAAAAAGATGGTTCACTTGAAAATACATATGACATATTTTCGTTGTAAAATTTTCACCAGTTTATTATGAACAAACTATGAAAAACTTAAACTGTTTTGATTAATTGATATTTATTTATTGCTTCAAAAGTAAAAAGTACAGTGTAACAACTATAACAATTTATTTTTAAGTTTTACGATCTTTTTTAAATCGTTAAAAGACAGAATTATTTTTAATTTTCAGAGAATACCTGTTCCGACTGATTCTTGATCTATCAAATGAACTTTACATATAAAAAGCATAGTTTAAAGTACGCTATTAAGAAATAAGATTTGAACCTTTTTTCATTATTTTGTCATTTTCAAAATAAAAAAAAGATCACCTCTAGAGGATTAATACCTGAACATATCTACCCTCTGGATGATTAATACCTGAACATATCTAGCCTCTAGAGGATTAATACCTGAACATATCTAGCCTCTAGAGGATTAATACCTGAACATATCTAGCCTCTAGAGGATTAATACCTGAACATATCTAGCCTTTAGAGGATTAATGCTTGAACATATCTAGCCTCTAAAGGATTAATAACTGAAAATATCTAGCCTCCAGAGGATAAATAATACCTAAAGATATTTAGCCTCTAAAAGATTAATGCTTAAACATATCTAGAGAATTAATACCTGAACATACCTAGCCTCTAGAGGATTAATAACTGAACATATCTAACCTCTAGAGGATTAATACCTGAACATATCTAGCCTCTAGAGGATTAATACCTGAACATATCTAGCCTCTGGATGATTAATACCTGAACATATCTAGGAGAGGTTGCTCCCCTTCTATCCCCTGAAGTTCCCCTTCTTGAATCCTGAGTTCCCCTACGGTGGTCCAAGGTGCCTGGTCCCCTCCTGTTGGTACCTGTGGGGCCCCTAGCCACCAGGAAGGGGGAACAGGAGTCAGAGGAGCGCTCTGTTGAATAGTAGACAGGGGGGTCTTCATCCTAAAAATAAAGGAAATTAGTTTTTGCCACAAACCCTAATTTTCTAATTTCAATATCATTTCAACCCAATGTCGTAGACCTTCAATATTTCAAACTATGAATGCTGTTAGATCAAATAATGTAAGTTTGAAATATCAAAGGTTTACATCATCAGGTATAAGGCTTATTAAAATTGAAGACCCAATTCATTTTAGAACAAAAAAAGCTACATTTTAATTTCTCCTTTCTGATTTCTGTGTTTTCCTTCCTGATTTAATTTTATTTATTCCATTTCTACCCTTTCTAATTTAGTTTTTTCCAATTTTTCTTCCCTTTCTATATTTTCTTCTTTTCTAATTTTTTCTAAACAAACTTTTTTTCTAATTTTTTTTTCGCAGCCTGGAGATTCTTGTAAATCTATCTTTATGTCAAATCATTTATCGGTCTATCTATCTATCTTTTTATCTATCAATCTAAACATCTAGTTATATATCTATGATCAAATTCATGTTTTGTTTATTCTTTATTATTAACAATATTTTGTCAAAGTTAAAACTTTTGGAGAAACTTTATTAATCTAAAAAAAAACAATATTTTGTCCAACTCTTGCAGGTTGCAAATATGCATTGTAAAGTGCACCCAAACTTTTTAAGCCGCAGGACAAAGTTTGCTGTATTTGCAGAAATTTTTCAGAAAATATAAATGGACTATACATTGTAATTTCAAGTGACTCTAAATTATTAGACGGACGTGTCTGATTAACGACGGTATCATTGTTTTTCTAGATTAAAAAGTGTTTAATTATGACAATTTCCCACATCGTTCTGTAGTAGAATTCTGCAAGTAACTTTGATGGCTAAACCACAATAAAACTACAAAATTAATATTTGATTTATTCATAATCATACAAAGCTTTAGAAGGATATCGTTGTGAATCGAATATGTCAACTTAAATATGAAATGTCACTTAAAATTGTGTCTGAAGTTACTTTAAATTTTTTTTAAATAGTTGCAGTGTATAGTGCAGTGTATAGTGCAGTGTATAGTGCAGGGTATAGTGCAGGGTATAGTGCAGTGTATAGTACAGGGTATAGTGCAGTGTATAGTGCAGTGTATAGTGCAGTGTATAGTGCAGTGTATAGTGCAGTGTATAGTGCAGTGTA